ATTTAACATAATTTTAAACATCCTTTTTCTTCCACATCCTACATGTATTTGTAAAATTTAAACAATGTTTATACATCCCAGGCCCTGAAGATGATCCCAATAAGGATCGAAATCGGCCCAATAAAGAAATAAAGAAAATGTTTTTCTAAAACCTATCACACCAGACCGCAACTCACGATCTCCGAAAATAATTGTCGTTACAATTCAAATCTTTTAAAAAGCATAAACTGTCGATTGAATTTGTCATAAAAACATAGATACGTCTCTACAGTCAATACAGTTAACAGCTGGCCGCACAATGTCAAAGCTTAACTCATAAAACTTCTGCCCAGAAATTCAGGGCACTAAAGGCCTAATTAACGGAATGACCCCTCAATAAACCGATTGACCCCACTTGGAGTCAGGGTGAGGACTGTACATTTCTCTAAGGTTTTAGTGGCTTTTTCCAATCTCGCCGGATATGGCGTATCGACAGTTCCTCACCGAGGTGTTACTAGATGGTGTCAGGTTAGTCAAAATGACTTTATTTTGAAAGATATTTTCATAGTTTGACCCTTCTGCATAAGTTGAAAGACTGGGAAAAATTAATCGACGATCAGTACCTCTGCATTTATGCAACGTAGAATTTATTCCAAAAAGCACACCCGAAGCAATAGCATTATCCCACACATCTCGAACGTTACAGGTACTTTATTTTTAGCCTGTTCATCATCACGTGCGTCGTTCTTGTTTCGTTCTTTGTCATTGCATATGCTGTTTTGAAATTCTTTCGAGCATTAACAAAAGATAATATTGTAAAATTTTATACGGACAGGCAAATAATTCCCCGTTATGGATCGCGTTAATTATAAAAAATAATATACGAACTACAACCAACAATGGTAGTTTAATTTTTAATTGGACAGTATGATAGGTTATTATGACGTTGTCAACATCGAAAACCAATTATGCAATTATTACCCAATTTCCTATTACGTTGTTTGATTCACGAAAATGTAACACGGTGACATTCTCCTGTCTTTCTTCTTTTCCTGTTTTTTTTCATTCCGCTTTCCACTTGCTATCTTCTACTACTCTCTCTCTCTTTCCCTCTCTCTCTCTCTCTCTCTCTCTCTCTCTCTCTCTCACCTTCTTTCCCTCTCCCTCCTCCCTCGCTCACTCCCACTCCCTCTCTCTCCCTCCCCTCCCTCACTCTCTCTCTATCTATCTATCTATCTATATCTTTCTATCTATCTGTATATCTATCTATCTCTCTGTTTTTTAACCACTAAACTTGAACTAATGTAAAAATTGTAGAAATTTCCTTTCCTTCTTTAACTATCATTTTCCTTCTTCACGTTCTCTTTCGGTCGGTTCCTTCTTAATTTCAACTTTTATCTCATTGTCACTTAGTTTTTCCAGTATAGTTTTCTCTCTGTAATTACCCTCTATCTTTGTTCACTTTCTTCTTTCACACGTTATGTTTCTCTTTGCTTTTATTTCATTTCCTTTTTTCAACTCATCTCTACTCTTCTCTGTTCACCATTCAATTTTCGCGCTTTTCTTTTTCTAACTATACTCGGTCTTTCAGGTCATCTTCGTCTTTTGTTCACTTCCCCTTTCGAACTCTACTCGATACATTTCCTGCGATAATTATAGTATAACAAAAATTTCTTTTATTCTCTCTCTCTCTCTCCCTCCCTCTCTCTCTCTCCCTCCCTCATTCTCTGTTTTCTATCCCTTTCTTTCACTTCCTCTTCTCACCTCTTCAATTTCTCTCTACTCGTCCATTTTAACCACTCCCTTTTCTACTAATATTTCGTTTTGGTAACTTCTTCTCTTTCTCTTTTTTCACGTCCCTTCTCGATTTTTTCTATTCTCTTTTCACTGCTTTTATAATTACATTAAATGCACAAATTCTCACCCGTTTTCCTGTTTCTCTTGTCTTCTTTCACTTCCACCTGCCGTCTTATGACTTTCTTTTTACCATAGCTCTTCAACGCGTCTTTTCCCAAAATTAATCTATATCTTTTTTTATCCTTCTCTTCACCACTCTTCTCTCTCTCTCTCTCTCTCTCTCTCTCTCTCTCTCTCTCTCTCTCCCTCTATCTATCTATCTATCTAATCTCTTTCTCTTTGAAAATATTTCTCTTTATTCGTGTTATGCTTTATCATTCCTTTCGCTTTCACTTCTCTCCTTTTAGAAGTTTTCCCAAGTTACTTTCTTACTACTTTCTCTTTTTTCCGGTAGATATTTTTGTATCTGTTTCCTTAATTTTTTCCTTGCCTCTTTCCTCTCATTTTCATTAATTTCTTGCGTTTATCAAATTAATTATCTGTTATAAAATTATTAAATCAATAAAATAAACTAATTACATTTTTCTCAATACTACTTTTTAATTGCAAATTAATCTAAAATACACCGACAGACAAAAAAGTTCTCACGCTTAATATTTTTAATAATTTTTTTATACAATTCTCCATTGTTACCTTACAACAATATTTGGTTTGTTTTACCTTTAAAGTCCTTATCCGTAATACCTATTATTAGAGGTAAATAAAACACAGATAAAATCTATGTGTGTTTGCAATTGAATTTTGCAAATAAATCTTTGAAAAGTCAATCTCTTCTTTGTTGGTTTTTCAGTAAAGTTTCTTTCCAACTTGATTTTTTGTAAGTTCTACCATTTTTAAGTTGCAAATTTGTTTGAGTGTTGGTTTTAAGTGATACAGATTCGTCTAGGATCATAGCATTGTTGTAAGATGGAAGAAGTCAAGCGTATATGGCCAGGGTGCTCAACACTCCCACAACAACTATCAGAAGGATCTTCCACCTTTACGAAGATGATGAAGGCATGGATCGTTTAGGGATGGTGTCAGTTGTCATGTCAGTTCAGTAAGACTTTCAGAAGGTGGATTATGTGCGAGAAGGCCTCCCATTGGTCCAGAACTTCTGATAAGACACAAAACAACTCGGTTAAGTTTCGCAAGAAATCTCTTCAATTGGTCTTAGCAAGATTGGGCTAAAATCTTGTTTTCGGACGAGAGTTTTGTTTGAGATCTTCGCGATAGAGTCGCCTTCTCTCTCTAGGGGGTGCGCGGGAGACCGAGCTGATGTATTTCGGCTTAGGTAGCCCTTTGCGCGCGGCATACGGTCTGATGCTCAATGCAGGCCCGGCCACTTGGAATGGACAAGCGGGGAGCGAGGTTGTCTTGGCCCTTCGGGGCTGAGCTGCCTCTACACCAATGCTGCGGCAGTAACACCATTCTGTCGTATGCGGAGTTGCGTCAGCTCTCATTTTGAGAATCAAAACATCCGATAAGGCCGAATAGGCTAGGTGTGGACGTTAAAGATCCTCAGAGTACTTTTTAAGATGACCGAGTATGCGGGAACCTCATGTAGTCCCGACTTAAACCCTACCGAAAACCTTTGGGACGAGTTGGCAAAGAGAGTAAAAAGTCTCCCAGTGGTGACAGAGAATTTTCAAAAATTAAAAATGGCGTTGTTAGGGGAGTACGAAGATATTCCACAGCACTGCATTCAAAATCTCATACATTCGATGTCACGTCGATGCAAGCTGTGATCTAGGCAAAAAGAGGAAATACTCAGTACTGATTTGAATATTTTCTTGATTGTTTCCATAGCAATATTTCTGGTGAAATTGTTTTGGTCAGTTTAATTTGGCTTTTTTTGTTATTAATTGTAACGATTGCTACTAAAAAATGAAGTTGCGACGTTTTTTTGCTCTTAATGTATAACTAAAGTAATTTTCTAATAGTTTAATAAGTCATAGAATATTTATGAACATACGAATATATGGATGAAACATGGAAAATATTGACACTAAACAGCAAAATAATAGATTTTTTATTTAATTTTGACTTAAACTTAGTAATATTGTTACAAATTATTTGGTTTATTACAATACAGATGCCATAACAATATTGTAAAGTTTTTGTCAATTAGTTGCTATTGCAGTTAGCGCAGGTAAAAGGTACAATTATGCTGATATAATTTTAGGAAGTGGGCTGTAAAAATTTTCAAATGACATTTTTTATTATCTCAAAACCAATGATTTTGTCGAAACATTCTATTAATTAACGAGAAGAGCAATTGAAAACCCGTGACAGTGAGAATATTGAAATGAATGCCGGTGGACAAAAGGCATTGTATTGCTTTCGATCGAATCTCCGCTACAAATGATTCTATTTTCGGCCCTGTCGTGGCGATTGTTTCGAATTAACATTCGACCCGAGGATAAAAGACGAATTAATACATGTCAAATTGTAAATCAAAGTCTCCTTGAAAGTCTCCGGCCAAAAATAATACACAAATTGTCGATGGAAAGTGCCTTATAAATAGTTAATGATGAAATTTCCAAATTCAAAACTAATGCTCAACAGGCAGAACTCTCGGTTTTCCTTGATAAAGCATTCATGAATAGGAAATCAAGTCTATAAGTCCTACTTTTACTTCTTAAATGTAGAACGTCTTAAATTAAAAAAACTTCTTTCTAGTTTTAATTTTTTTTTGATTTACTGCTATATGTAATTGTGATTCTTTCAGTTTCTTCAAACGGCTATCCCGTTATAAAATAAATCTCGGTATTTCTTGGAAGGAAACGAGGTAAATTGAAGGAAGCATAAAGCTCCCTTGTTTTCATTACAGAGGCAAAATGTCTCCGACGTAACGTCATTATTCAGGTAACCAGTGAAATCGTCCGAATAATGCGTCGACGAACTTCCTTTAAGTATATGCTCTAGTTATTCGGTTTAACAACATTTCACCCCCCCTTTATTGAATGTACAAATCAACTAAACGAATATCCGGCTTTGAACTCCTGTTTTTTCTTGATTGTCAGGGAGGCTATTTTTGAGTATTCTTCCAGATAAAAAAAAATATCACTTTTATTGCCTCTAACGCACAGCTGTATATTCACTCAAATTGAATATATATTACAACTGAATATAAAAAGACTAAATGTTATATATTTACAATAATGTTTTACTTTTTGTTCCAGGGTTTTTAAGAAGAGTTCGCCTAATGGAAAAGTAAGTTTTTACTTATTACTTAAAATAAGAAGTTTTATAGTTTTCTTAAATAATAAAAGTTTTTTGGAATTTTAAAGGTTTGTAAGTAAAGTATAAATTAAGGGGTATTCACAATGTTTGTTAGATATTAACTCGAATAGAGAAATGTCCAGTAAGATCGTGAACGCCCCCTTCTTTTCTTAGCATGTTAAATGTTAATTTTTCCGAAATGCTGCGCGTGGTGGCCGATAGAACCAAAAATAAAGGTACAACAGACGTTGAAGGCTTGTTGTTGTTCGTTTTGGTTTTGTTTTGTACTATATTGTAAGGCGACAAAAGTTAGTAAAAATGCAAAATTAATCAAATTCAATTCACTAGTTTTCGTGGTCCGCTTGACCAATTTATCCTAACCTACGCTCAAACGACTAGCAATATTAATGAAGGTTTTTAGTTGAGATAAAAAAGTCAATTTCACGAGCGGGATTCGAACCCACGATCTTCGGCTAGATACGCCGCTACTCTACCACCTGATCTATCGTCACATCTCAATCCCACCTTTTGAATTTTCCCTTCTGTTTGCTTCTTTTTTTTTGAGATGGGAATTTGGTGTCCGAGACGTTGACTTTTTTATCTCAACTAAAAACCTTAATTAATTGAAAGATATTAATCAAACTCTTTCATTCACAATGCTATCTATTCCCTCGTACACGCTTCAATTCGTGCCGACGTACCTAAATTGTATCCTAACATCTAACAGCCCACAACCTTATTGGATAGGGGATGTATCCACTATGAATGAGCGTATAAGGACAGGTCATAATTAACAAAAGAAATGTATTTGTCTGATTTAATTAATGCGTATTTAAGAATAAAAATATGTGTAAACAAAAAATAGCTGTTGAATTCATGGGTACCATGTTGATAACCTACGCTCAAACGACTAGCAATGTGTCTACACCTTCGACTTACGTCTTAACATCTAACATTAGTCCTACCCAGATCGAGCACTGGTAAATATCCGATTCTTACAAGTCTACGTCATCATTTTTCTCGATCTAACTCGACTTTACAGAGTTAACAGGTAATTCACTAATTTCGTGGTCCGCTTGACCAATTAATATATTATAACTAATTAAGGTTTTTAGTTGAGATAAAAACCTTAATTAATTATAAGAGTTAACAGGGTTAATACAAAGATCGTCAATATCCCTATAAATTCAATGGACTTATAACAGTATACAGGATGTCCTTTTTAGATGGCACGGCTGAATTTCTTTTGACCCATTGACGCAAAAAAATCCTGTTTAATATTTTCTAGTCTGGTTTCAAATTTTATCTATTTTTGCAGAAAAATTATACAGGGTATCTCAGGCACAGTTCAACTTCATAATTTCAAATACAACTCTATACATCCTGACATATCATTTTAAAGGATTTTTGACTCTGAAAACAATGGTGCAATCGGCATTTAAATTGGTCAAAAAATGACAAAGTTATGGCAAAAAGAAACTGGCAGAAATTTCGACCAGGAGCTGAATATTTTACTGTATTTTGGTGAAAATCCGAATTCCTCTTTCCGAAATGTTAGAAGGGTTTTAGGTTTAAAAAAAATTAAATTAGAGATGTACTCCGGACTTACAATTTTAAGCCGTATCGCTCTCATCTTATCTAGGGACTTCTGGACTCTGATTATGAGAGGCGTCTAACGTTCCTTGCACAAATCTTGATTTGGGAGGCTGAAGAAATCGTTCTTCCAACCATCCTATGGACTGATGAATCCAAGCTCACCTCCAATAGCATACTAGACCGTCGGACTTTTCGAATGTGGGCAGAGGAAAATCCGAAATTTTCGTACTCTTGTCATCGTCAGATGGTGCAGTCTCAACGTTTGGTGTGGACTTCTCGGAAATAAATTAATTGGTTCTTATTTCTACGAAAACAATTTAAATGGAGGTCAGTTCCTCAATTTTTTGTGGGAGGTTTTACCAATACCATTGGATGATGCTCCTCTGCAACAACGACAAAGAATGATTCTCCAGCTTGATGGATGCCCCGCATAAAATTCTATGCACGTGAGACGTTATTTGAATCGTCACTTCCGAGACAAATGGACAGGACCTCATGGCCCGATCTGTTGGTCTCCTCGATCACCCGATTTAATACCACTTGACTATTTTCTATGGGGCCATTTAAAAAAGGTGTCCACGCCAATAATAACCCAGCAACCTCAGTTGAAGAACTACGGCAAAGGATAGAAAATGCTTGTCAACCCATCTCCCCTGACTCTATCGCTCTGAGCACCGGTGAAGAGTGGTTCAAAAGAGCAAACTAAGTAGCAAAGCAAATGACTATTTTGTGTTCAAACGTTTTGCCATAACTTTGTCATTTTTTGACTGATTTAATTCCGATTACACCATAGTTTTCAGCGACAAAAATCCTTTAAAATGTTTTTTTTTTTTTTCGTCATCGTGTGAGAAAAATTCAGCCGGGCCATATAAAAAGGACACTGTATATAATGAGGGGAATTTCTCAAAACTGCGAAAGTGTTGGTCGGAAACGTCTTTTAGTGTATCACATATTAAACAAATCTGAAAAATTTATCCTAGGGATGATGTTCATCTTTTAAAAATGGCACAGCAATTCAACAATAGCAAGGAATGGCATGCCTAAGAGTTCGCTGATCTCCAGAATGTTAAAAGAAATGTTTAAAATAGAATATTTACAATAATGATAACTGCATCATCACTGAGAATGGTAGAAACTATAGACAACAAAATTTCATAGCTATATATCAAGATTTATGATCAAATAGATTGGAGATCGACATAATAACAAATTACATGAATTGAAAATAAACAGGGAGGACCGTGAACCAGGTGATGCTAACAGAATTATCATAAGAAAGCAAAAAAATCAATCAAAATAATGTAGGTTAAAATTGATGTTCTTTTACTGAGGCTGCTGAAATACGACAAATAGCGAGGATAATTCTTAGTTCTTCGAGAACGATTACAAAAGACGATCTGAATAGTTCTCAGAATTATGTTACCATTTATGATCACATTCCCTAGAGATCACTGTATTGAAGAAAACGCCTGAGATACAAATAAATGTGAGTTTGGACAGACAATGCTTCAAGCAACAACTTGAAAACAACAAAAAAGAGAAACGTACCCCGCTATACTTCGGAATGTATCATCATTACGCCTGAGATGCAAATAAACAGCGAGGAATGACGGACCACAGAATGTACATGTGCCGATAGTTCATAGTCTTTCCAGAAGTATAAAAAGTGATAGAAAATTTCTGCCTATATGTCCATTTATGATCACATAACCAAAGATCGCTGTAGTATCGAAATACCTTGTGTGCAAATAAACAGCGAGGATTGACGGACTAGAGAAATGTACTGTGCCTTCAGTAAGAGCTTTAGAAAGAAAAAATTGTGTAAAGTTTATGGCATTACGTCAGATTTGAACATCACTTACTGTGGAATTGGAAAACTTACAAACAAAGAGATCTGGTGATAATTATCCTATTAAATATATTTAATCCTTAGTTCTTTCAGAATTGTTAAAAATGATAGCAAAAGTTCATACTGTTGATCGAATTTTATCATCACTTAATGTGGGTTTGAAAACCGACAAATATCTAGGTCTGGTGGACCTGATAGTTCTCTTCCAGGACGATTAAAACCGAAAGACGACGAAATACAGCTACACATCAACATTTATGATAAGATATACTACAGTTCGCTGTAATAACGAAACGCTTGAGATGCAAATAAACAGAACAAAAAACGAAAAATGTTTTGACCTATAGATCGAAATGGAACGGCATCTATTGATGATTTCTTCAAGGTTGATGTGTCAACAGTTATCCAGATGATTAAAACATCAGAATTAACGATAACATAAGTTTTAGATCGAAACGGATCTTTACTTTTTGATGAGATTCGTAAGCTATTTTTAAAACCGACTAACATGGATGGATCAGTATTTTCAGAATGTTAAAAGAACATTGTTGATAACATGCACTGCAGATCGCTATAATGATGAAATGTTTTTAAGCAAATAAACCGATCCAGAAAATGTACAGTGCTCTTAGAAGGATGTTAAAAAAATATTTACACTACAGATTGAAATTAATCATCATTCATCACTTACTGAGGTGTGATTCGGGTTGTTCCGAACAACGATATTAATTTGAAAACGGATTATTAGGTTCAGCGGATCAGAGAGTTCTTACTTCTTTCAGAGCAATGTAAAACAAAAGAGCACAAACCCTAAAGCTATGTCAAGTCGATGCTCACCATAATACCTAAAGGAAATGCATATAAACAACCAGGATTGACGGACCGGATTGATAGATTTCCAACTATAGAATGCAAAAATTTTTGCATATGTATGTCAAACTCTGATTTTTTTCCAGTAACACTAGAGGAACGGCGTTTATTTGTTGCCCGTTCCCTAAATAAGACTAGGGGCATTCACAAATTTACTACCATTAAATCTGATATTAATTTACATAATATTGTATTTTTAAGTGTAACAGTCTTTTATTTACTTTTTTACAATGAAAATTTGGGGTAGATTCAGATGAATTTATTTTTTTAATAGATAGGATATACAACATGGATTTTAACTATTCATGTAAATTAACAAATAAATTAAATAGCGGCAATTCAATAATTAGTCTTAAATATAGTTAATTATCACATTCAAATTACAACAAAACACAATCACTTCTATCAATCGTCGATATCGTCAATCTTCTTTCAGATAAATATGTTCCACAAATTTCAGAAAATCTTCCTGGAACTTGTGGATCAGTATTTCCTCGCTTGTTGGCCATTTTTCTCCATTATGAATAATTTTTTGGGTCAGAGTTGCAAGTTTGCTTTCGAACATTATAAATGAGGTGTTTCCATGTTCGCTGTTCACCACAGTTGCAGAAAGGGTCGTTAATTATTTTCGAAAAAACCTTTTGATTGCTGGGCCTTTTTCTGTATTCGTCCATTC